ATGTTACTAATCACATTCCTAAGAGTCCAATTCACAGATAGCTTCCTTCAAAACCAAGGGGGAAATCTCTTAAGCGGGCTGCATAAAAAATGTAAAACGTAAGAGAAACGCTTGAGTTCGGACAGATAGAATGAGACAAGGAGAGAGAAAGGCTAAAAGAAAACACAGCCTCATTATGTGGCATTTTTGGAAGCTAAGCTTCTATTTGGTTTGACTAGGAGAGCAGAGCTCTTCCATGTGTGTGGTTTTGATAGAGGCTACAACAGACTTTCACAAGTTAAAAAGAAAAGTCCAGGAAAGTTGGGCCGAGAGTCTGAAAATCCTTTTAAATTATAAAAAGTTACAGATTTCTAACTTGACAACCATTGAACTTATTTGATAGGGAAAAAAATATCTAAGAACAAAACATGTTCAAGTTATTTTTTACATAGTGCATTAATGCTTTTTTAAGTCTAACCTAGTTTTAGGGTTTATCCAGAATTTGAAAAAAATTAGGTCATTCTACAATGGCAAATTTCATCAAATAAAACACTTGCTTTAGAAAACTTACCCCAAAATATTCTTGTCTGGATGTGTCTTAACAATCTAAAACGTAGCAAGAAGCAGAAGCCTAAAAACCCAAATCTGGGTGTGGGGAAATCAAGAGGTTTCTTTCAACTGACTTTGTTTTCTTGCAGTTGAAAACCTTGCTTCACCAAAAGGTATTTCCAAAATGGAAAATTTGGTTTCATTTATCATGGTTGAAATGCACATATGCTTCAGGAAGCAGTGATGCCGAAAAATTTCTACAGAAGTTTCCACCCATGCCTTCTAGGGGTGGGAGAGGGCTGAGAGGAAAAGAGAAAGGCTAGGACACTGAACATTTGCTCTTCCCTAGGTCTTGCCAGTGTTACACCTGGCACTGCAAAACTCAGCATTTGGAGAGCATTGGCTGTGTATGTCATGTTCTTTCAAAAAATATGCTCTATCTGTTCCTGATCAAGAATGGAAAGATAAGTTCTTGGAGTTCCAGGAGCAGGCTCTCCTCCATAAGGATGAGCCATTCTCCCTCTGAGGACTGCTCACACAAGTTCACAGCACACTGCTGGGCGCACAATGCCCCTCACAATCTCGGGCATCCCGATGCTTCTGATGAAGAAAACCACCACAATTTTAAGAAAAATGGACAACCAACTTCCCCTTTTTGTGATGTTTCTTCCAAAAGTTGTGGTTCTCTGCAATTCTTGTGGATATGCCAGAGACTTTGCCTGTAAATTTTTGTAACTGGGGTAAAATATATGTAACTTGAAATTTACCATTTTAACCATCTTTAAGAGTGTAATTCAGAGGCTTTATGTACATTTATGTTCTTGTGCAACCATGCATTTCCAGAACTTTTTCATTTCCCCAAGTTGAAACTCCATGCCTATTAAGCAATAACTCCCCATTTTTCTCTCTCCCCAGCCCCTGGCAACCACCATTCTACTTTCTGCCTCTATGAATTTGACCATTCTAGGTACCTCATATAAGTTGGGAATTTATTGTAATCCATCCAAAAGGCTGATTTCCAGAACTTACGTCCCAGTAGCCAGAGCTACTGTCATTTTCAATGTCTATCTGCTCTATACACACACACACACACAATTTATCACTGTAGTGGCTGAGAGCTGGAGACCCTTTTCCTATGCAAAACAGAAGACAAAGTCATCTTCCTCTGACTGATCAAGGCACAATGATTCTTCACAGAGGGAGATGGGAAACTTGGCATCAGAAGGTCCTGTAGAGAGCTAGAGTGCTTAGGGGATACTGCAAAGGTGAGTGTAAATTCAGTTTCTTCTTAAGATTTTGGCCTGAACAAAGGAGTATCCAGTTCATGGTTCCAAACCACTAAAGCATCCAGATGCCTCAGGGTGTCTATAAAAAGGAGGACAAAGGTAGGTGCTGGTGAATCCTACAAGAGGAAGTGCCACGCCCTTGTGTGGTATCTTACTGTGAGGAGACAAGTTTAGGTGGATGGGAGATGATGACCTGATAAGATCTCTCTAATTTTCTCATGGGAACGGTCCCACAAAATCTTCTTTGGATTATGAATATAGGAAGGCCCTAAAATAAGCCCTGGGTACTATCCAAGCACAAACCATGGAGTACAACAGGGCAATAGATGAACACCAACAATAACAGCAACTACCATTTACTGAGTACTCACGCTGTGCCTGAAAAACTTACTAAATTGCCTCCTTTGATCTTCACAACAACTCTATGAGATATGGAAACTGTCCCTCTACACTGAAAAGAAAAATTAATGCTGAAAAAATGTGACACACTCAAGGTCATACAGTTTATGAAATAGATTTACTGCAAGCTCTGTGTTACCCCAAAGCCCATGATTTTCGTACCCTTATGACAAAGAAAGAAAATTGTTCATTAGAAATCTCTAGGCTGAACATTTTTAATGCTTAAAAACAGCCCCAATTAAGCTTCAGCGGGTTCAGTGTGGAAGAACCAGACTCAGGATCCCTCCAGTCCCCAGAGGTCTGACATGTGATCCTGAGGCCAGTCACTCAGCTTCTCTGGCCCTGAGTTTCCCAGGGAACTTGTGAAACAAGGCTACTTCCCCCTCTTCTGCCCCCACCTCAAAGCATTCCATGGGGTCAATTACCCGTGCTGAGATAATAAGGCTGATATCCAAGGATGAACCTATTGGCCAAAGGTTTCAATCACCTCTCTCATGAGCTTCCTTTTTAGTTATCAGAGCTTCCCACAAAAGTTATCAGCTAATCAGCAAATAATTATCTAACGCCTACTATGTGTGCAGCCACACAGTACTTAATGTGGAGTATTCAGAGATATAGGCAGCATCCTTGCCCTTGAGGACCTATCTCCCAGTTTGGGGACTTATAGGAAACAAAAGCACAGAAACATCTTGTGGGTGGGCCTATTATTCAGTACCCAACTATGGAATTGGAATTAGGAAGAACATCTGCCAGAACCAGAAAAGCTTAGGTTTCCAAGACAAAGTGGAATTTTAAAACAGCCTTGATAGATGAATAACTTTTGGAAAAGTAGAAGCAAAAGGCATTCCAGGCAAAAACAAACTCTGGAAGCTAAGGATCTGAGACTGGATGGAGTACTGTACAGGATGGGTGATCACAAAAGAGACCCACAGATCTCTTGGTAGCGGTATATGGGTGAGCACTGGGAATGGAGACTGGAGCCAGATTTCACAAGACTTGAATGCCTGGCAGGGTAAGCTGGTCTTGGAGTGGGAACAAAAGGTAGTGAGCTTGGTGACCTGGTGAACACTGGAAGCTGCAAGGTTTAGATTTCTCTGCCTTTGATAGGAAAAACTAAAAGAACATGTGTGAAAACTAGGTGTTGTAATGCCAAAGACATCAGCCATCCCAGTTGAGAGGCACCAGAGTGTTGAAGAACAAGAGAGCTCCTGGGGGCAAGGACTCATTACATTTCTGAACACAAAACTGAGAACACAATAAGTACCCCAAAATGCTTGGGAAGCAGTACTTTGATCTGCTGCTGCTAGTTTGAAATGGACCTTTCAGCCCCAATATGTAAGCAAATCAAGAATCTCTAAACCTCCATTCACATCACTGCTGCCCTCTGTTGGCTACCAGACCAATAAGAGAAGGTGGGGACACTGCGCACCTCTGTCCCAAGGAAGCAGGCTTTCAGATGCTCTGTCGGCCAGTGGCCACACAGAGTCCAACACTAAGGTCCTGTTGCAAAGGGCACTCAAGGAGAGGCTGTACCAGCACCACACTCAGTCTAAAATGTCCCAATCTCTTCCTGGGAGTCACATCAAGAAACACAATCCCTGGGGGCCTCTTCAGACAAGAGGACACCAAACAATCATGCCAGTTCTAATGGGGTCTAGAGATGTTTAATGACATCATTCTGCCCCATGAGATGGGGCAAGATTTGGGACAATCCATGCAAAAGAAAGTGTACTGAGGTGCTCTCCAGTGTTGACTTAGTGGAACCTGTTATCATTTAACCAGCTGGTTACCATCTGAATCAAACTGGCAACTCAGAGCAGCAGCCCTCCCTCCTCGGCTGTCCACTGCCATGGCCTCACCACTCTTGCAGTCTTCTCACCTCAAGGAAAATGGCAAGCCTTGTTCTCTACCAGCCGCAGACCCACAGAATGAAGAGGGGACGTTTTAGCACACAGAGGAATGACCCGCCCCTGCACCACACTGAGCACCTTCACGATGAAAGAATCAGATCCTCAGATAACAGCTTAAAATTTATTAAAATGCATGTGCCTGCCAGGAAACAATCCCTCGCTAGTTAGAGCCAGCTCAACACAAATACTTAAATTCCCATCTGTTAACTTCTATTTCATAAAGAAACCCCTGACAGAAGGAGCAAGAGTTTCTCTAAAGAATATAACTTCCAGTATAATTTGTAAACTTTTCAATGCAAATGGAAGTCAGTTCAGAGCAAGTGTCACCTGAATGGATTTCTCTCCTTCTCACTTGAACTTGTGTGTGTATACAGGTACACACACACACACACTGTAAGGAAAGACATCAGCTTGGCATGCGTGTTGACAACTTGAGCACTTCAGAGTGAAAATGCAAGCACTCTATGTCAGGCCAGACCTGCTATGATACCAAAAACCCCCCACCCAAGAAAAACCACCCCGGGAAGGCAGCCAGGAAAGGGAAACGCCTCCTTGAAACAGCCTGATTCAGCCCATGCTGAAACTATTCCCGAACACCAGCCAGGAAGTCCCTTCTTTCAGGGTGCTCCGCTGCCCAGCAAACCCAGACCCGCCTCTGTGGAAGCCAGATCTCTGGGGAAAGGGGCTTTCCTGCTCTGACTCTGCTGCCCGCTGGGATCCATCAGTGACCAGGTCTTCCAACCCTGTCTAACCAATGCCAACGCAAAGCTGGTGGCTGCACCGCGAGCGCACACACACACACACACACACACACGTACACACTCAGGCGCGCGCACGCCCGCGCGTGCGTGCACGCACACACTTATACATAACATACCTTTCACCGTCCATTGTGTGAGGCCCAGCCAGGGTGGCAGCCGCTGAGCTGTGCATGCACTGGAGGATCCTAGCCCTGTTCTCGTTTCTCCCAGCCAACCAGCGGGAGATCTGATCAGCAACAGTGATTCAGCATGGCTGCAAATGAAGCCTCCTCCCCTCTTGATCCTCCTTCCTCTGACTTACTCGCGGCAGCTTCTACCGCAGAAGCAGCAGCAGCAGAAAATGTCTTACCCAGAGCTCCCTGCAGCCCTTTCAGCTGCTAAAAGCAGCAACCCACTTGCTCCCCCTCCCCCACAGGCTTGCTGCTCCTCCGTCTCCTAGGAACAGCGCAGCGCCAGCAACCCAAGTACAGTGCCACCTTTCCAGCCGCTTCCACATCTGCCCAGGCATCCCCAGCCCAGGCGACTAGCCCACCCCAGTGCCTCCTGCCTCCTCTGCCTAGACTGGAAAGACTCAGGCAGTTCCTCACTAGCCCAAGAAATACGGGCCCCCACCTCCTCCCCTGCCCCCATAGACTACGACTTCGTCAGCCTGGTCAGATTGCTGGAATGAGGAGGCCCCTCTGTGGCTTACAGTGGACTTTATCCACCTGGGGAAATTGACTTGTAGGTCACATCTCATTTTCCAATTCCTCCTCCCAAAATCTACAGCAGCTCTGAGAGTCTGATGGATGGAGAGAAGTTAGGGCAAAAGAGCCTGATAGAACTGAGAAGAACGCAGAGAGAAATTAGAAAAAGGGAACTGAAACAAATACTATTTTACTACAAGAGGCTAAACTGCAGTAAAACCACCACAATGGTACCACGTACATTTATTTCCCCAGGCCATACCAAAAGACCACAAGTTCTATAGCACAGCCCTAAAATACCTTCTTAAAGTCTGTCGTGTTGAAATTTAACTTAAGCTGTGGCTCCAACCAGTAAGTCTCCCACTGAATCCCTATCTGCAGCCAAAGATCTCTCGCACCCTGTAATCTCTAGTTGCTGAGCCTCAATTTTGGCCCACCTAATGCAAACACATAATCCTGGGGCACGCTGGAGGCCAGTCTGTACCTCATAGCCACAGTCAAGGGACACAGAGGAAATGGGGGCAATCAGCCACTGGTGTTTGGTTAGCCACAAAAATGGGTTAAGAAGTTTCCTTGATGCCTCAGAAAAATCATACATGAGCATCTATATTCTGGGAATTCTCTGGGTCACATCTGTGCTTTTCAGGACCCGTACTGCCACTAGCTGGTTGAGCGACTTTCAGTAAGTCTTTTCTCCACTCTGGATCTCAGCCCCTCATCCATAACATAGGGTCAGACTCTAGAGTCCCTTTTGGCTCTAAAATCACATGATGCTAAAAATGTCTTAAATGTTCCATTTTTCTCATTAGAGTAATCTGTAAGATTGTTTAAGAAGAAAGTTTTACTGGACTCCAATGTTTTGAGAGGGCTTCAGGGAGGATAACGTGATGTATGTGAAAGTATGTGGGATGCTTAGTAAACCTATTATAGTTATAATTTTGACCTGATAAATGTCTTCACTGCCAGAAAGCCCTGAAACCAGGGAGGGAGGCTGGACACTGAGGTAACAGAAACTAAGAGTAACTTAAACTTTATACAGCCTCTGGAACTCAAAGTGGCTAATGTGTTACTCTTAAAAATAACCCCCTGCCCTTGACACCGCAATGTCCTCTTAGATGAGGCCATTAGGCCACTACCCAAACTCATTCTTTCTCAAGTGAGAAGAGGCTCGGGTGATTTTATTTACAACCTACAGCCCTGTATCACAACTTCTTCCTTTCGCAACAATACCCCTCCTATCTTTCTCCCTCTGCCCCTGCCTCTTCTAATCAGCTTTGTGGCGCTGCTCCAGATATTTCCTCTTGAGGTGAATCACAGGGACCAGAAGCTGAACATCACAAATAAGGAAACTGAATCCCAGAATCCGTGCCAGAGTGCAGACATCCACCAGGAAGACGAGTGGGTGATTCATAAAAGGGACATGAGAATGAGTCTCTCACAACTTCATACCCTCTTTCACAACTTCACCATATAGGAAAGGACGGGGGGAGACTCCCCTGGTGTCCAGTGGTAAAGAATCCGCCTTCCAATGCAGGGGATGCAGGTTCAATCCCTAGCCAGGGAACTAAGATCCCACATGCTGCAGGGCAACTAAGCCCACATGCCACAACTACTGAGCTTGCGCGCCTCAACGAGAGAGCCCACGTGCCCTGGAGCCTGCGCGCCACAGCTGGAGAGAGAAAACCCTCACACCACAACTAGAGAGAAGCCTGTGTGCACCACAACTAGAGAGACAACCAAGCAGACCACGGGCTATAAGGAAAAAAGATCCCACATGCCTCAATAAAGACCCCATGTGCGGCAACTAAGACCCGACGCAGCCAATAAATAAATAAATAAATAAAACAAATAAATATTTTTTAAATAAATAAATAATCCTGTTTATTAAAAAAAAAAAAAAAAAAGGGAGAACTGTCACATCTAACAAACCAGAGAGAAAATTTTTAAAGATCAGAAAATACTGAAAGGCTGAGCCTATTCAGGTTTTAACATACAACTATTGAGAGCCAGTATAAAATTTTTACACAATTTCCTTTGCAACCTACTTTTGCCAAGCTAAACAACATCACTACAACGTATGTGTTGAAACCATAGTGCTACCACCTGCTCACTTTATTCCCCATTCTATCCATGAGAAGTAAGCTGAACAGAGACTACCTAGAGAAGGACATTGAGAAAAGAAAGGCAAAACCAGGGTCAGAGCTGAACCAAGAATCAAAGCCTCCAGACTCCTGGCACAAAGTTGCCACCTAAATCTTCTCTACTATCAGAGCTACACTTTACACTTTCTACATTATTATCCAAGTGTTCTCTGGGCCACAGCCTGAACCTGCTTGCTCTAGGCTAACTTTCCTAACTGGACTTCAGATTAAGGAGAGTCACTATTGGATTCTTGCAGTAGAGGAAAGTCAGAGGAACCAAAGTAATCTCTACCTGGAGGAAGAGGTCCCATCGTTGAATTCCCAGATGTAATGTCTCACCTCCTTGCTAGCCCTCCTCCCCATACCCAAAGCTTCTCCCACAGCTTACCAATAGTACCCACCTCTCCATCCCAGAGCAATTTACCCAGCCATGTACACCAACTTTGTTCAGCATCCTCCAGCTCTATGTGGCTGAGGAAGAAGCCATGTGAGGAGAAAAAACTTTTAAGTGGGTTTGGTCTAGAGAGTTCTCTTCTCCACACCCCATCTCTCTACAAGGAGCCTGTACAGCACAGCTTATCTGGAGGTAGCAAGGCCCATCATTCTTCCAAGTGTCTTTTTCTTCTTTTCTTGCTTTTATCCTGCTTCTCCAGAGCCTCAGTTCCTCACATGTGCAGGCACCATAACACATACAGTAGCCCCACACCTGCATCAGAACCATCTGCCCAGCGGGTTAAAATTGTAGGCATCAAAGGATCAAAAGATGCAAGGAAACTTTTCAGGGTTATGGAAGTGTTCCATATCTTGACTGTGATGATACTTACACAATTGTATACAACTACTACATTTTATCAAACTAGACACTTAAGTGGGTGAATTTTATTTTACGCAAATTATACCTCAATAAATCTGGGAGAAAGAAAATACTACAGTACCAGGCTCTACCACACACCTACAGAATTGGGGCCCAAGGAGCAGGAATTTTAGTGAACTTCATAGGTGACTCTAATACACAGCTAAATGGAAAGACCACAAAGAAAAGAGCTCAGACCAATAGAATCAGACAGACCAGGGTCTGAATATACTTACCAGAAACATGACCCTTAGCAATGTACTTTACAAGTCTCAATTTCCTCATCTGTAAAAAGAAGATAATAATAGTACCTACCTCACAGTGTTGTTAGGTTTCAAGACTATAAAGCACTTAGCAGAGAGCCTGGCCTGTAATAGGCACTGAGTAACCATTAGCAGCTATTATTTGCATTGCCTATGCCAATGCTACCAAACTATAGCTCTGTGAGTCCTTAGTTTTGAGGTCAAGAAGAAAGTCAACCAGGGTAACTTGTGCCAGGAAGCCCAGCCCTGGGCCTCTCCTAGAGCCATTCAGTGGTCACTATTACCAACAGCTCACCAAGAGCCAGGCAAGACCAAAGCTAAATCAAGACCCACCCACACCTGTATCACCAAAACTTTCCCTCAGATTCTGGACCACTTGATGAGAGTAGACTCCCCCTGTAGCTGCTTAGCACGCCCCCAGCACAGGAAGCCAGGCAGAAAATGAAAAGGAATTTGAGGTCCAAAAAAGTCAAAAGGTAAAGAGAACAGCATATTATCCAGAGAGATGCTTGGCTTCCCTCAGGACTCCTCCTGTGAAGTAGAAGAACCCATGCCCTGAACATATTCAAGACAATAATTACCCGTGGCATCTGTGTTGAACTTTAAAGCTCACAAAGTTCTTCATGTCCCTCATCTCCTTGGACTTAAGATAACATCCCCCGAATAGTAATAACAGCTCCCATCCCTTAACATTTTACTCTGGGCCGGACTCTGTACTCAAGACTTTACATATACCCCTCTCATTTAATCCTCACAACAACCCTGTGAGAAGGGACTATTATCCCTATTTTAAATGTGAGGTGTACAGAAATGAAACAGATTTTTGTATATTGACTTTTTATCCTAAAACTTCACCGAATTTTATTAGTTGTGACAATTTTTTGATAGAGTCTTTAGGGTTTTCTATATAAAATATCATGTCATCTGCAAATAATGATAGTTTTAATTCTTCCTTTCCAATTTGGATGCTTTTTACTTTTTTCTTGCCTAATTGCTTTGGCTAAGACTTCCAATACTATGTTGAATAAAAGTGGTGAGAGTGGGCATCCTTGTCTCGTTCCTGATCTTAGAGGAAAAACTTCCAGCTTTTCACCTTTGAATATGAAAATATATGGCCTTTATTATATTGAGGTACGTTCTCTCTATACCCACTCTGTTAAAACTTATTATCATAAATGGATACTGAATTTTGTCAAATGCTTTTTCTGCTTCTATTGAAATGATCATATGATTTTTATCCTTCATGTTGTTAATGTGGTGTTCCACAATGATTGATTTGAAGATGTTGAACCATCCTTGCAATCCTGGAATAAATCCCACTTGATTATGGTGCATGATCCTTTAAATATATTGCTGCATTCAATGTGTTATTATTTTGTTGAGAATTTTTACATCTATGTTCATCAGGAATATTGGCCTATAATATTTTTCTTGTGGTGTCCTTGTCTGGTTTTGGTAAGAGGTTAACGCTGGCCTCCTAAAATGAGTTTAGTAGAGTTCCCTCCTCTGTTAGAATTAATAAATTCAGTAAAGTTGCAGGATACAAAATCGGTACACAAAACTCTATTGCATTTCTATACACTAATAACGAAGTATCAGAAAGAGAAATATGGAAAAATACCACATTTACAGTTGC